CCTGACGTCGATGTTTCTTGGCCTCTTTGATTTCAAGTGAAAACCAAGGAGAAAAGGGTCTCGATGAAATGTTTCTTTTTACCATTGGCGCATGTTGGTCGATTGCCGCTTTGAGAGTGTCATGAAATGTGTCTGCATCTAGGGAGGATAGACTTGTCAGTGTCTTATAAGATTGTGTCGGGTGGTCTTGTACTATGGAAATCATTAACCTGAATTCAAATGCTCGTACCTGCTTAGTTAGAAACTACCCATTTCTTACAGAATATAACAGAGGCCCAGAATCACCAATATAGAAACCAATTTATGGTGAAAGGGTTTTCCAATAACAGTCAGAAAAATGTCATTGGTCGCGATCCCAGACAAATAGGTTTAATGTCAGTTACATTCATTTTTTAGATATCTGACTTCAAAGTTTTCACCAAACATGTATTACCCGCAAATGAAGAATAAATAAAATTAACGTGTTTTTTTTCTCAGGAAAAAAGGAGTTTTAACTTCAACTCCAAACACAAAACATTATGTGCCATTTCCGTGTTATTCTGGGGTCGCTAAATGTTAGCTACAGTCATCTATTGTAATACCATTATAGTGTAGCGTTTCTTGAGCTACAAGAAGATACCCCAAAATCAGGCGAACGGCAGCCTTTGCGTCCATGGCCTGGTGGTTAGGCTTTCGGACTCGCAACCGTAAAGTCGTGGGTTCGAATTCTATCAATGGCCCGACGTTGTGTCCTTGGAAAAGGCAGTTTACGCGAATTTTCGTCACTTCACCTAGGTGGAAATGAGTCTCAAGCTATAAGCGGCGATATTCCTTGTCAGCTTGTTAGTATTTGAGCATATCACTGTCTGTTTGCACTATATGCTTCCCGCCCAAAAAGCCGAGAATGTTTCTGGGCGTTTTAGGGTCTGCTGGGGGTCATATGTAATAGTTGTACAGCACATGGATCATGGTGTTGAGCGTTTATATGCGCTAAATACAAAATTATTATTGTTAACAAAATGTTACATCCCCATCCCCGCTTTAAAAAACACATGAGAGATTATGAGAGCGTTCAAAAGCTCTTACCTGGTTGAGGGCCGAGAGGACAGCGAGGGCAGCCAGAGCTCCCAGAAGGGCTGCCAATGTCCGGTGAACCAGCTGTTGGGGGAAGGTTTGAGATGAAGAGGGGGGTAGTTTGGAAGGTGGTTTAGGCGGTTATTGGACATGTTTTTAAAAATATTTTTTTTAGGGGGTTAGGTTGGTATGGGTGGTGGTATGGGTGGTGGTTTGAGAAGTGGTTTAGAAGGTGGTTTGGGAGGTAGTTTGAACGAGGGGGGGGGCGTTAAAATGGTTGAGAAATGTGTGTAGGGATATTGACATTCCTAAATGCTGCAAGGATTTAAGGCAAAAAGTATAATAACAGACATCATATACAGGAAAAAAAGCAATCTCCACCATCAACAAATCAATGACATAATGACAGTTCATCTAAATTATATCTGCACCACAACAAGATGGAAATATTATAGTTGATGCAAATGTGTTCATGTAATTAAAGTATCAAGGTTGCGTTCTTTAGTAAAATTAATTTACTTGTATAATATGACGACCACGGCTTACTATTTTGTTGATAGTGATGACGATGACGATGATGATGATAATGACGATGATGATGATGATGATGATGATGATGATGATGATGATG